TGCATGCCAAGGCTTAAAGCAGCAACAACGCTACACATAGAAACTGATGATGGTGGAAAACACCGAAACGTATTTTAATTGATAAATAGAGACAATAAATGACTGAAACCCAGGAATTGATTTGGATCTGATGAAATCCCATGGGAGCGAGTGAGACCACCGCAGCGTGCTACGTTCGGGAATGGGCCAATCGGTTTTCTCCCATTAAAATCATTGGCGACCATCGGTCCATCTTGATGTTTCGCTAGCACACGTGGCCGTCATCTTCAAAGGAGTGTTTGCTTTGGGTGTTTACGCTGAATGCTGCACTGACACTGTTTTTTTCGCGTTTCATCGAAACTCACCCACTCCGCTCTGAAGATGATAGGTACTAGCGAAACGTCAAGAACCACCTTGCCAGAGAATGGTCAATTTTCCTATCGATGGGCTCAACCAATTCAATCACATTGTTCCGATCTTTTGAAGCTGATTTTTTCATTCAGGAGCGCAGCTTGACTCGGTGCTCTCACTCGCGCGCATGGGAGTGTATAGCAGATGTAAATTGCGTCTGACTGGCTACGTTCTAGATTGATACCTTGACGGCTAAAATTTGAGCGGGACATCGACTTGTCAATCAACCTGTATAGTTGAAAGTGTATTTTATAAGCCATAAGCTGGGAAGAATGCATTAAAATTTAACTGTAAATAGTAAATAGTAGGCCGCAGGCAGACAATAACAATAATTTAAAGCTAATCGTAGACAAACGGCAAGTTTAATAGTGTATTTATATTTTATTTCATGTTATTACTATTCATATATATTTATACATTAGAGGCAGGTACATTTTATTATACGCATGAAGCATGCCCCGTATTCGATTAATAAAATGTCTGTTTACTTTTATGTGTTTTTTACGTTTTGCTTGCCCTCAGAGGTAAGTAAGTGAGAGATTTGCGGCTAATTTCCGTTTCAGTATTTTTGGTTTTGTCGTTTTCCCTTGATTGCTTTGATCGAATCAGTTTTCCGTTGATTTTTCCACTAATTTGTTGTTTTATTGCAGTTTTAAGTTACCTCTAAGCGCAATTTAGGCCCTCACAGTGCAAAATTTTACCTAAGTCTGCCAAGGTAAGTCTAGCGAGTCCTCAAACAGGGCAAAGTAGAGCTTGAGAAGGCGATTATTTAGTGGCTTTTGGCGCTTTCCGTGATTGGTAATCGACTGTTTGTTTTAGACCAGATGGGACTCGTGAGCTACCAGTTTACTCAAACATAAGAGCGAAGAACTGAAGACGAAAAACAAATCAACTCTCAACAAGTATACCAAAAAAAAAAATTTATGACATATTTTATAAATGCTTAAATGTATATTTTATCGTTAAATGTACAGCAGGTAAATCACAGTAGTTTAGAGTTAGGCGTACATGGAGTAGTTCGTTTCTTTTGCCCTTATACAGGGGGGCTTTGATCGGTTGCCTGCTTCTATGTAACATATCAAGCGGTTTTCAGTGGCAATTTCAACCGCCCCCACTGTATATTGAAGTCTTCTGATAGTTAACACTTTTTTATACCACTGCCAACGTATTTAGGTGCTTGTTTTTTAAGTTTGGAATTGTCTGGAAGCTGATTGGCTTTATACTCGTCTCGTGCTAGTTAGTTTAACGGTTATTTTGTGATATTCAATTGCAATTCTACATGTATGATTATTATTGAACATGTTTATGTATTTGTTGTGCGGGGGACGTTCGAAGGCGCCGCCCCCGTCGATGTGTATTATTTAATGCATTTACTAGAGCTAGAGACCTACATGTAACACGCTAAGAACAGGGTATTTTTGATTTTACAAGTTCGAAAATCAAATGCAATGTGGGCGCAAAATCCTGCAATTTTCCACTCAGACTTTCGATGGATTGCATCGTTTTCCGCTCACCCCGTGTTCGATTGTTAACGGCAATGCTACGTCGAACTGGTTGTTTTTTCGTCATTCTTTTGTGGAAAATACAGGGATTCATCAATGTAAATTAATGGCCGACAATGTTGTGTGACCGAATAAGGATGATTTTATGTTGATACCGATTAGAGGAAGTACTCGGAATAAAAGTTTAAATGTCCCGGCATTGTTTTGTTCCCGAAATGGGGCGCCCGTCAGTGTCAGTTTTTTTCCCGTTGGCATGTTTCTGCCAGTTCATCCCAACCAATCCGCATGGAACCGCGCCCCCCCACGAGTGGGGGACCTGAAGTTTTGCCCACTATGGGGAAAACGATGGGCCCCAAATTACACTAACGTCATCAAGTACCCGTGCTTCGTGCAGGACGTTTGCTGCGAGCAGGGCTGCTGCGCGCCCCGCCCTGCCAAGTACTACGATTCCTGGTGCTTTTGGTAAGTTCTCGCTTGAACAGCCAGCGCAACCCCGCTCGCGTCTTCCAGGATGTTCCTGCTGGGAACAGTGCTGGGCTGTTACCTGCTTTGCTGGTACTGCAAAAGGGTGGAGAAGCGGCGCCAAAGGGCCGGCACGCCGCCCCAGTTGAGGGCGGCCAGTGTGGACCGGCTGCTGGAGACTCTCATTCTGCACTACCGCAGGCGTAAGGGGGCGCGTGTTCCCGGGGGGGTTAATAATTTAATGCAACGTTCCAGGGCAGAATGGGGCGCCAGCGCCCAACGTCGACCAGTCCAAGGAGGCGCCCCCGGACTATGCGGCCGCCCTGGGGATGCCCAAGCCCCGCAATCGGGCCGATCAGGAGGTGCCCAGCTACGAGCAGGCGACCAGCGCGTAAATCTTCACTGTTTAGCTGCTAAGAGCAGTCTGGTGATTAATAAAAATCAGTTTCGTCAAACTTCTTGCGCGCAAAACTCCAACATTTTTACGTTTACGTTACCGCCGAAATGAGAAGGCCATCCGACAAGTAGTCCGAACAGAGTCAAGAAGACGCTAATTTATACACAAAATATGCCCCCAAAAAGGGGGTATGTTCTGTGAATTGATACAACACGTGCTTGTATTTTGGTGGTGGTTTATTAGGCTTGTCATCGACAGGCTCTAAAATTAAGCTCCAAAGTGTCTTTTGAGTGTTTTTAAAATAAATATTGTAAAAATGGAAATTATAGTGGCGAATCAACAGTGAGTGTGTTCAGTTTTCCAAAAGACGACGGGTTGTTAAAACAGTGGCTACGAGCAATACTTCGAGACAATTTTCAGCCCACGAAAAACAGCCAGTGGGCCTTCTTATTTCGGTGGTAACGTGCCAACTGGGAACGCAGCGACGTGCGCGCCGCCATGCCGTCCCGTGTGCGTGAGTGAGAGGACCGATGCCAACTGCGTTCCAGAGTGCGCAACTGAGTGAAGTCATTATAAATTGCACGATGGGATTGCAGCCAAAGCCACGCTTCCTGGCACTTCTTTCCATCTCTTCTCAAGCAGGTTTCCACCGTTTGCGGTCGGCACAAACAAACGTTTGTTTACTTAATCTTCGCAATCGACGTTGAACTTTCCTTGATGTTCAAAGCCTCCTTAAGATAACGAGCCACTAAACCGACCAAACCGCTTTGCAGTCGAGTGTGAAACCGCCGAAATGTTAGTTCAAGGTTTGGTGGTTTTTGCGGTTTTTTGCACCGTGCTCGGGAACCTGCAGTCTCCCTGTCCTGGAGTGCTTCTGTACGAGCCGACAAACCCGGAGGAACCGGACAAATGGTACGGGGTGATCACACTGGGCACGGACGAGGACCTGGAGGGGGTGTGGGTGAAGGTGTCCCTGGACAGGGAGGCCATTGTACTGGGGGTGAGTTCTGAGGGGGGGATTTGGTGCGAGAACATTGCTGCCTGGCGTGATCAGCTAATGATCGCTCAAAGGTTAATTAATGGCCTAGCGGGAATCCACCGAAAATTCCCCAAAGCGATCACGATTTATGCCACTTTATATGCAAACCTGGTTGCCATTTGTCGTAAAAAATCGCAAAACTTTTAAACAGCCTCTGTTTTCAGCGATGGATGCACAAAATAATTCATATAACCAATTTAATTGAGGGAATATTTACCAAAATGGGCAGCAATTGACTCCATGTGCAGGCGCAAATTCACTCTGTGGATCTGAAAGCAAAGAAATCGATCTTAAATTTTTGTTTTCCAGTTTATCGTAATTGCATTTAAAAATTAAACTGGATTGAATCGCGTCAAAGGAATTCTCCAATTTTCCAGGCAGCACTTTGGGACACTCTGTACAGGGCGTTTTCACTAATTGAGTCTAAAACCAAAGACCAGTGCATGCATGAAAGATTATTCAGGTGGCATTGCCGAACGCAGCCACTATCGGTTTTCTCACTCGCGCACATAGATGTGCCTATGGGAGGCGCCATGGCTTGCTGCAGCTACGTTCGAAACTGCCAACTTTTAACTGCGATCAAGTTTTTCAACAATTTCAAAATTTTTTCGCCATTTACGCAGAATTGGTTCGCCGACGCCACTTCAAACGACAACAAACTGTTCAACATCGCAAACCCCCAATACAAATTACTGGCCGGCCCGCCCATCTTGATCCGATTTTTCGTGCAGTACAACGAAAACGACGGAGTCCCACAGGTGCAGAAAATCCTGCTGAACGGTAAAAAGCGCCATCGGTGGCACACCAGCCGCTTCAACTCGGAACTTTTACAGGAAAAAACGTCTGCTCCAGAACAAGAACGGCCACCACCCAGCCCACGCTGCATTTGAGCTTCAGAAGCACGGATCCCTATGGGGCCAACCGGCAGGGCTTCCAACACATGCACCCGCCGGCCAGGCCAGAGTAAGTCGATTTGAACGGCCCAGTAGCCTCCATAACTAACTCGGTGCCTTGCAGAAAATCCAACAAAAAGCCCCAGAAGGAGGGAAAACGGTGAGAAATTCTCGCCAAAACGCGTCAAATTCTCCCTAAATTGTTTGGTTCTAGGAGAACAACGACGCCTTCAGGGGAGGATGACAGCTTCTACGCTGGGGACTTCAGCCCATCGCTCACGCGCAAAAGAACGAGTGTTCAGTGCGGAACAGTGGCGCAAAGGCCTGCGCCGCTGATCACCTATGGGGAAAGCACATCGCCTGGTAAGCGCGCTAATTTACACGGAGACCCCTGATTGGTTGATTCCTCAGGTCAATGGCCGTGGCATGCCGCCCTCTACGTGCTCACGGGCACTGAGCTGAAGTACACCTGTGGCGCCACCTTGGTGTCCGACCGTCATGCAGTGACAGCCGGCCATTGCGTCACCAAGCCCAGAACAAACACGGTGGTTCAAAAAGACCGGCTGGTTGTGTATCTCGGTTTGTCTCTATATCTGGAAACTCTATATCAGCGCTCAACCGGGGCACCTTACAGGTAAATACAGCCTGACGAGCTTCGGGGGCAACGTCCAAGACAGACAGATAGAGGCGATTGACGTTCATCCACAGTACAACGCCTCTATCTACTTCAATGACATTGCGCTGTTGACATTGAGCGCACCCATTGAGGTGACCGACTTTGTGCGCCCCTGCTGTCTGTGGACCGAAGAGCGAACCAGCCTAGATGCTCTAGTGGGGAGGAAAGGTATTGTACAGGAACAAACTAACTTCAAAGTTACCGTCAACTTCACAAACAATAACATTTAGGAATGTTTTCCGGGCTTTGAAGCCGTGGTCTATAGGAATTTCTTCCTGACGTTTCGTCCACAACTGCGCTGGACATTATCAAAGGCGATGAGGCAGTGGGCGAAGTGATCTCCCGTGCTTTCCGACTAA